AAATTTTTGACCAAACTCGTATCGAATTCAAAAGTATTTTTTTTAAGTCCTAAAAAAATTCAAGTTGAGCTCAGGTTGTTCTGATTGAGTCTGCCCAAGTTACACTCTTAAACTTAATTATTATAATTTGAAGAAATTAGAAAAGTTTTTGAGGATATTAAGATTGTGCTTGAATCTTGAATTGAGATAAGAATTTGAAAATAAAAAAATGAAAAGATAAAGACAACATTAATAAAATAAAAGTTAAATTTTTTTTTTCTTCTTCTTTTTTCAAATTTCTATTTAAATTTTTTTTTCCAGATACAAGGTACAAAAAAGGCAAGTAGTGTTTAGTGTGATAAAGATTAGTGCCCATTCCCTACCCAAAGTTAGCGTCTGAAGTTTGAGAGATGGATGGGTTACCTGTGAAGTTATTTGCTTGAATAAAAAATACTGAGAGCAAGGTACAGTTGCCGATTGCTCTTGGTAGACTACCAAATAAATTATTGTCGGGTAGATGAAATATTTTCAATGAAGAGATGTTAAAGATAGAAGATGGTATGAGACCAGTGACGTTGGCAGATTCCATAGCTAGCATCTCCAAACTATTTAGACTACCTAGTTCTTGTGGAATTTCGCCTGCAAATAATTTACGAATTGTAAGTAGCTACCAAGAGTGTTGTGCAGTATCAACATACATACATTAAAATAAAGTTTCTTTTCAAATGGATAGGCAAACATGTAAGTTGCACTTTTGGATAGGCAAATGATGTACATATATACTCCTTGTGCTCAAATTTTAGTAATTTTTTTAATACTATTTTTGAATCTTAAATTTGTTAAAATAAAGAAAAAATAATTACTTCTACTTCTTCAATTTTTATGGATAACCAAACCCCCCCCCCCAAAAAAAAAAAAAAAAAAAACAAAAAAAAAAAAAAAAAAAAAAAAAAAAAAAAAAAAAAAAAAAACCAAAAAAAACAAGATCCATTTTTTTTTTTTTTTAAGGCAACCAAAAGGTAGAAAGAAATTTAATTGTATTGAATAGATGCCATATAAAATTTTAGAGTCCACTGTTTAAATCAATCAAAAATTGTAATAAGGGAAGGGATTTGTTAAAAACAAAATTAGTACTTTTGTTTAATCCATTTTCTCTTCCATTTCTTTTTCATCTATTAATCTCTTCACAAATTTAATATTCAAATATACTTTATTGTTTTCCAAATCAATAATTCTATGATAATCATATTTATCTATCATATATGTTTATTATTTTTAATGTTATTATTGTACTAATGACATATATGAGTAGTAGAACTCATTCCTCCAGCAAAATATAGTAGACATTATTATCATTAGAGCGGAAAGGTACATACATAAAATAATAAATAAATAAAAAGTTAATAAACTAAAAGTTCTATTTATAAATGTTATGGTAGCTCAGGTCCGATCTAAGATTTTTTTTAACCAATAAGTCCTATTTAGTAAAACTAAGAATATTATCAGTTTTTTTCAATTTTTAAAAATAAAAATATTATCAATTTCGCATAGTAATGTTCTAGATAATTGCTTCACTAACTGATGGAAAAAGAAAAAAAACAGAGTATGAAATTAAACGATTTTGTCTTTCTACTTATTGATTTGATTCAACTATTCAATAAAACCAAGAACATTTTCAGTTTTTTCCAATTTCAAAACAAGAACATTATCAGTTTTTTTATTTTTAAAGTTTTTTTCCCCCTAGTTTTGCACATCAATGTTTCATCATCATTCTCCTTTATAGGCACAATTTTCAGTTTTGCACAAAAAAAAAAATAATTCAATTTTTTCAATTTTTTTTTTTTAAAAAAACATAATTTTTTAAAAGTTTTTTCAATTTGAAAGTTGATATTTTAAAGTTTTGAAAATCAAAATAAATATCAAAGCATAACGTTTCTTTATAGATAATTATAAATGATGAACAATCATTATTTGAAGAGTAATTCCGATTATTAAAAATTTAATGAAACTTGAAGGTCTAAAAAATGTTAGTTAGAACTTAATGGAGTATAAGTTTATAAATTAGGACTTACACATTCCCTAAAAAAAATTGAGTTCCTTTTAGTAAATTATTGTAGATAATTTTTTATAGGGTGGCTCTATTTGCACCTCAAAAATTAAGTTGGACACCCCAATTTAATGAAACTATTTTATTACTATTAAGTCCTTATTTAAGTAGTCCAGGACGGTATTACTAGGCCCGTGGGACTCACCAGGGATCCCATTTCGATGATTCAAACCGTTAAATATGTAGAGTTCTTCAAGTGACGACCGTCACTGCAAAAAATCATATTAATCAGATATCGATAGCTTCTTGATCTAAATATATTTTTATGAGCAATTTATTTTTAAAATCTTATTTACTACTAATAAAAATATGATCTTATCAAAGGGCTATCGATATTTGATCAACCTGATTTTTTTGATGGAAAAAGTACTCGACGAGATCTACACATCAAATAGTTCAGATCATCGAAATGGGATCTGTAGTGGACCCCATGGACCCAATAGTACCGTTCAGTCTACAAAGTGGACTGGAGAAAATCCTTTCTGTTATTTAAAATGACCAAAAATTAATTAACATTGAAAAAAGTACAAATCAAAGTGTTTTGGACAACCTATTCATTACCGGCCTCAATATTTCTTTTCTCTCTCTTCTCTTCTTAATTCTATTTGCTTGAATCCATTATTCTTGCATTCGATTTCACATTGAAATCAACAATGAACAATAAAGAATAAGTTTTCAAGCAATTTTCTATAGATAAAGTAAGTTTTCATTTGATTGTTATCGTTTATCGTTGTTTGGTTTACAAAATTGATTCAAAAATTTAGTATTGAACAAATTATGTTTATTCGGAAACTTATTTGTAAATAAAATTCATATATTCAGCAGTGTATTTCCGAAATAATGGTCGTTATTAAATATTTTATATCCAAACAAATTGTCTATGTTCGGCTCTGTTTTTCTGAACATTTAGGGTGTGTTTGGTTTGGTTTGGTTTGGTTTTGGAAGATAATTTTTTAAAAAAAAAATCTTGGGAAAAAAGTTTAGAATTTTTTTTTTTTTTGGTTTGTTTGATTGTATATTTTGGAAATAGGTAGAATTTTTTTTTTTTTGGGTTTGTTTGATTGTATATTTTGGAAATAGTTTTGGAGTGTGAGAGTTTGAGATGATTTGATATTTTGTTGCAATTGAGTAGATGTGTATGAAATAAAAAGGGACTGAGAATGAGAGATGAGAGAGAAAAAGTAATTGATTGATGTGTAAGAGATAGAAAGTGATTTTGGCAATTTTTTTTCCAAAATCTCTAAACCAAACAAAATTTTAGAAAGTTTTCTCCAAAATTTGTTTATCTAAAACAAACCAAACAAGGCCTTAATTTTATAACCTCTTCACACTCCAATTTCGAATTTAAAAAAAAAAAAAAAAAAAACTATCCGGTATTATGTTCGGCACCGAGCATCTAAAGAAACTTCATAGGTTCAAAAATAAGTATTCGAATATATATATATATATATATATATAATTTGTTCAGCACTGAGTATCTAAATGAAAATGGTGCAACCGATTTTTTATTTTTCAGAACTGAGTATTCGAACATATTTCATTTGTTCGACACTAAATATCCAAACAACTTAATAATTTCATAATTAAGTTTCCAGACATATAGTATGTGTTGGACTTTTTTGAAACATAGTATGTGTTGGACTTAAGGTGTAGAAAGCAGAATTTCTAAAGTTTTTTTATTTTAAGGGTATAATAGGTATTATTTGTGGTGCCTAAACAAATAAATAAATATTTAAATTTTAAATTAGGGTGTTCCAAGTAATGAGGTGCCTAACCTAATTTTTGGAGTGCATTTAGAATTACCTCTTTTTTAGCCAAGTGTTGTGAAAAAAATAGTTATTGAAGCAAGACTTAGATACTTGCAATGAAGAAGAGGTTGGTGGTTCAACACAATAAAGTTTTGAATTATTAACTAATTCTTAGCATATGATAAGCATTTTGGGAGAAGTATTTCATGAATGGAAAAAAAAATAAAAATCTAACAAGTCTTTTTATTTATTTATTTATTTTATAATTGAAAGTTTTGAATTATTATAAGTAGATCTGAGAATATAATCGATTAAATTATTGTTTTAAGCATTTTATTAGTTAATAAAACATACTAATTCAGAAGCTGACAAATCATTTGAATTTGAAAATTAACAAACGAAGTGATATGTACTAGTTATATTAATAAAATTAACTTGGTAAAATTGATAGTATTAACTAACATAAGGGATAATAAATAGTCAAAATTTATTATAAATATTGATGTTATGAATATTGATAAAATTTAGGGAAAATTGGTCTTGACAAATCATTTGAATTTGAAAATTAACAAACGAAGTGATATGTACTAGTTATATTAATAAAATTAACTTGGTAAAATTGATAGTATTAACTAACATAAGGGATAATAAATAGTCAAAATTTATTATAAATATTGATGTTATGAATATTGATAAAATTTAAGGGGTAATAAATAATTTTCAAATATTTGGAGGGGGTCCCTTCCCTACCTTTGTAGTTTCCCCCTAGTCATCCAATAATTATTATTATTTTTGAAAAAATGCAACAACTTATAATCAAATCAAACATAACTAAAAATTTTGTTGATTGTAACTAAAATAACAATGAGAGTAAATCATAACTGCTATATTACAATAAGTTACATTCAAGTCATAAGTAAGCATTATAATTAAATATCACGTGTAAAATAATTAAAATCTCTTTGGTCATTAACAAAATAAAATTATAAGAGATTATAATTAATAACATAATAAATTATAACTAAAATATGATTGTAAATATGATGTACACCAAAAAAAAAAAAAAAAAAGATTTATATTATAAAATTTTCCAAATCTTCTTAATTACTTTAAATATATATATTAAATGCGAATCAAACTGAATAACAATAACAAGTCAGAATGAATCATACACCGAGATATAAAATCTGAAGCAAAGTCAAATTCCCAATTGCCTTCGGAATGAAACGAGTGAATTTATTGTAAGATAATGATAAGAATTGAAGCTCTTTGCATTCACCCAGAGTTGTTGGAATTTGGCCATCAAACTCATTATCAGAAAGACGGAGAGATGCAAGTTTCGGAAGAAAAACACACAAATCCTCCGGAAGCCTACCAGACAACATATTATATCTGAACTCAATCCATTGAAGTGATGAGATGTTGAATAAGGTTGGCGGTAAAGACCCTGACAAATTATTATATCCCATAAGTAACGTCTTCAGTTTAGGAAGATGGCCAATCTCTTCAGGAACTCTTCCCTCTAGAAAATTGGACCTTAAATTGAGAGACTCTAATGTTGATATGTTGCCAATGGAAGGTGGAACTAAACCCGTGAAACTGTTGTTTTCGAGATGCAAGTATTGAAGCTTGGGTAAGTTTCCAAACCATGACGGAACACCTCCACCGAAGTTGTTGTCACCAAAGTCGACTGCATTTAGGCGATGCAATCGAGCCAACTCACCTGGAAGATGACCATGGAAAGTGTTGTTGGAAATGTTGAAGTAGGATAGAAATGAGAGGTTTCCTATGTGGGGTGGGATGGTGCCTCCCAGACCCATGTTTGCGAGATTCAAGGTTGTCACTCTGCGGTGGCGCTTGCCGCAATAGACACCAATCCAGTCGCAGACTGAGGTGGCAGAGGTCCAGTTATTTGCCAATATGTGATGGGAATGGTTGAAACTGATATGAGATTTTAAGGCTAAAAGAGCAGATTGATCAGTGGTCGAGTTGGGAATCAGGATCCTCTCCTTGCAGCCTCCATCCTTGCGTCCGTCCTTGTAGGCCTTCGGGTCTACTTTTAGACCCAATTTTGATAATCCGAACCGTTCATATTTTATGATTTATTCAGTATATCATACCTGTAAAAAATCAAGTTGATCGGATATCAGAAAGTATGTGTTCGAAAAATTGAACTAAAAACTATTTTTTAAATAATTTAATAAACAATTTTCCAAACACATACTTTCTGATATCCGATCAACTTGATTTTTTACAGGTATGATATACTGAATAAATCATAAAATATGAACGGTTCGGATTATTAAAATTGGGCCTAAAAATAGACCCGAAGGCCTGCAAGGACGGGCGCAAGTACCAGGCTGCAAGGAGAGAACCTTGGCTCGTCGAGTTGGGACCATTCATAGCCAAGCAGGCTAAGAAACAGTGTGCTAAGGACACTGTGAGTAAACGGTTTGTGTAAGAGAAACAACAAAAGGAATATATATTTATATAGATATCATGCAAAATAATGTTGTTTCCTGTTCAAATTAAAATTTGACTTATAATTTTAATATAATTTTTTTAAATGTTAGGGACTAAATTAAAATACATTTTGTATATTAGAGATCAGATTGACTTAATTTAAATATCAAGAACCAAAGTAAAATAATATTATATATTGATAATCAAAACGACACAAATTTAAATATTAGGGATTAAAATGACACAAATCTCACTTTGAGAACTAAAAATCTAATTAACCTATATTATGTTTACAGATTGAGGGACCTTAGACATCATGAAAATATTTGATGTCCTTTTTACTATAAAATCATAATATCAGGGACCTTAAAAAAAATACCCCTAAAATTTAAGGGGTAATAAATAATTTTCAAATATTTGGAGGGGGTCCCTTCCCTACCTTTGTAGTTTCCCCCAAGTCATCCAATAATTATTATTATTTTTGAAAAAATGCAACAACTTATAATCAAATCAAACATAACTAAAAATTTTGTTGATTGTAATTAAAATAACAATGAGAGTAAATCATAACTGCTATATTACAATAAGTTACATTCAAGTCATAAGTAAGCATTATAATTAAATATCACGTGTAAAATAATTAAAATCTCTTTGGTCATTAACAAAATAAAATTATAAGAGATTATAATTAATAACATAATAAATTATAACTAAAATATGATTGTAAATATGATGTACACCAAAAAAAAAAAAAAAAAAGATTTATATTATAAAATTTTCCAAATCTTCTTAATTACTTTAAATATATATATATTAAATGCGAATCAAACTGAATAACAATAACAAGTCAGAATGAATCATACCCTTAAAGTTGTTACCACCGAGATATAAAATCTGAAGCAAAGTCAAATTCCCAATTGCCTTGGGAATGAAACGAGTGAATTTATTGTAAGATAATGATAAGAATTGAAGCTCTTTGCATTCACCCAGAGTTGTTGGAATTTGGCCATCAAACTCATTATCAGAAAGACGGAGAAATGCAAGTTTCGGAAGAAAAACACACAAATCCTCCGGAAGCCTACCAGACAACATGTTGTATCTGAACTCAATCCATTGAAGTGATGAGATGTTGAATAAGGTTGGCGGTAAAGACCCCGACAAATTATTATATCCCATAAGTAACGTCTTTAGTTTAGGAAGATGGCCAACCTCTTCAGGAACTCTTCCCTCTAGAAAATTGGACCTTAAATTGAGAGACTCTAATGTTGGTTATAAAATTCTGGATAAAACCAGAATTTTTTCCTAAGTTCGGTCTATTTTTTAGGTGGGCCCCGAGTGTCGATTTACTCGGGTCAAAGTGGTAACGCGTTCTATGCCGCGTTGTGATTCACGTGGTATATTTGGTTGCTCAAAACCATTACCGAGTGAATTTTAAATACAGTGAAGATTGTCCAACAGATATGTTGCCAATGGAAGGTGGAACTAAACCCGTGAAACTGTTGTTTGCGAGATGCAAGTATTGAAGCTTGGGTAAGTTTCCAAACCATGACGGAACACCTCCACCGAAGTTGTTGTCACCAAAGTCGACTGCATTTAGGCGATGCAATCGAGCCAACTCACCTGGAAGATGACCATGGAAAGTGTTGTTGGAAATGTTGAAGTAGGATAGAAATGAGAGGTTTCCTATGTGGGGTGGGATGGTGCCTCCCAGACCCATGTTTGCGAGATTCAAGGTTGTCACTCTGCGGTGGCGCTTGCCGCAATAGACACCAATCCAGTCGCAGACTGAGGTGGCAGAGGTCCAGTTATTTGCCAATATGTGATGGGAATGGTTGAAACTGATATGAGATTTTAAGGCTAAAAGAGCAGATTGATCAGTGGTGGAGTTGGGACCATTCATAGCCAAGCAGGCTAAGAAACAGTGTGCTAAGGACACTGCAGTTAAATAGAGGAACCAAGTTTTCACCATGAAGATAGCTTAGATATGGAAACAAGAGTGATTGTGAGTAAACGGTTTGTGTAAGAGAAACAACAAAAGGAATATATATTTATATAGATATCATGCAAAATAATGTTGTTTCCTGTTCAAATTAAAATTTGACTTATAATTTTAATATAATTTTTTTAAATGTTAGGGACTAAATTCAAATACCTTTTGTATATTAGAGATCAGATTGACTCAATTTAAATATTAAGAATCAAAGTAAAATAATATTATATATTGATAATCAAATTGATACAAATTTAAACATTGGGGATTAAAATGATACAAATCTCACTTTGCAGCCAAAAATCTAATTAACCTAAATTATGTTTACAAATTATTTTATTTAAATAATACTATAGTTATTGCATTTAGGAAATAAATATAATCTAACGATTTGATGACTTTATTTACATAATGTTATTAATCAATAAAAAATTACAAATAAAATTAAGTCTTCCACTTTGTGATCCCCAACATCACCATCCAAGGTTTTCTAATTGATTAGTGATTTTACCAATATTTTGCATTGGCTCCACATTGAAGCGGGTGCTGTGGATTGATTAGTGCATTCAACTCATTTAGATAATTTGGATCATTCACAAATTTGAAATATAGGGGTCTTTTGGGAATAATAGTAAAAAGTAAGTTTTTTGGTTTTTTAGTTTTTTTATGTCAAAAAAGTTAGTTTTTTTTATCCAAAATAACCCAGTTTTTTGTCAAAAGAACCATCAAAAAAGTCAAAAAATTAACTTTTTACCAATTTTTCAAAGCACCACGTATTGAGTAGAATACATTTATAAAAAATTAAATTGATATAACATTGATAACCCTTTCGTCTAATTGCATTTGTATTTAGTTTTATATTTCAAATTATATTTACCATTCATTCTTTTTATACAAATGCTTTTCGATGAAATGATTATTAATATCCGTTCAATTTAATTTTGTACATATATATTTTACTCATTGTATCTTAAAGCGATTCATATTATTAAAATAAACTCCAAACGAGCTCAATTTACTACAAAACGGTAATTTGTTGTGTCCCTCACAACCGTCCCCCCAATCCGTTACGTCACATGAAAGCACTAATGTCTTCCACTAATTTTTACCTTCCTAGAAAAATCTTAATGGGGGAGAAAATGAAATTTCCATGGCTGCACTAATCACATCTCATGGGTTTTATCTTTTTATTTTAAAAACAGAATTGCTATATTTTAATATAATTTTTTTTATAAATAAGCGACTTAATTTCTTCCGTCTTTTTTTTTTTTTTTTTCTTTTTATGCAGCAAGATAGCGATTGTCTTGTGGAAGAGAATTTCACTTTTGGTAGGGGCGAAATTCAAGTTGATTCACACCCGTTAGCTTGAATTGTATTGAGAGTTGTCCAATTCCATCTAAGCTTAACCTACAATCCAAAATTGTTTGCTCAAATTCGGACCCAAGTTAGGCATGAATTACACAAGTTGTCCAAATTTCAGACACACACACATGTATATATGTATATATATTGCAACTAAGTTAATTAATTTATTAAAATTAGATTCTATTCACATTTTTTTATTAAATAATTTATAGAGATGGAGTAGAGAGAGGCAAGAATTGGTGATCCAATGCGCCGATGGCCTTTGTAATTTCTGAGTGAGAAAAAATAGGCAAGGTTTTGTGTTGTATTACTGTGTATATTTTTTATCAACAAAAGAAAAAATTTTATTGATGAAAACAAAATGCAAAACATATGAAATACATCAATAAAATGAAGCAAGAGCAACAAGCATCATAATGAATCTTCTAATCCCAATTAAGTTGACACAAAAAACAAAGGCCCAATCATGAACAAGCTCAAGCCAAAAAGGTTGGTGAAAAACCAACTAAAGAAACTACAAAACAAACATCCAAAACAAGCAGACGCCTCACCCAAAAAAAAAAAAGAAAAAAAGGGGCCACCCAAACACACTACCAAAACAACCAACCAAACCCTCAAAAAATCACACAACAATGTATCAACATCAGGCTGAAAAATACAAGTGCCTCCATTGTCTCTCCTCTGACATTCCAAGCATGGTGCCAAAAAGTTTTTTTTTTTTGTGGCTTCGAAGAATTTTGGACTATTGATTGACAACGATCAAGAAGAACGAGGAGGAAGACGTACCATATCAATTGGGTTTATTATATTTAGTTATATCTATATTATTATATAGATATAAATAAACCCTTTGTTAAGTCAACAGTTTTGGTGATATTTTAAAAAAAAATTCTCTCTTATGGTAAGTGTATAATTCCGTCGTATTTTGCCTTTGATGGTCAGCGAAGAGTTAACTCTCTTGGTGAAAACACTAAGGCAGGGCCTTCTCTTGAGGCAGGGCCT